CTCACCCCCATTTTGCAATTAAGGTACTTATTGGGTTATTACGCATTAATTTAAAGGCTGCCTTAATTAAAAAGTGAAGCTATACATATATGAAAATACTTGTAGAAATGGTCATGTCATTGGTCTGGGTTTAAGATGAACAGGGGTGCAGAGAAATGGGAATTTAAAGGAGAGGTGAAATTAGAAAGAGAGAGAGAGAAACTTTTTTGTCCACATGGACTTATAGACTGTCACTACAGAAATGTCAGTTTGCATAGCTGGAACATATGCAAGAGAAGAGGCTGGACAGCTAGGCTTGGGAGGTATCTGATGACCTTTGATTACAAACCACAGACTTTATATGTTATCTGGAGAACCTTCGAAGACTTGAACACAGGAGAACCAAACGACCCAATTTGTGCTGCAGAAAGATCAATTCAGCTGCGGTGTGCTGAATGGATACCAGGAGCAGAACGAGTGGAAACAGGGAGCGGTGGGGAAGCAGGGGTCACAGTTCAGGTCAGGGTGTGGTTGTTATGCTAGATGATTTAGAGACAGTGCCCATTGTATTCCGCAGCTAAGTCGCTGGTGACCTTGGCTAGAGCAGTTTCAGTGGAATGCAAGAAGCAGATGGCCTGGCTAAAGCATTTCCAGAACAGGAGAGGAAGGAACAGAGTTGACAGGTATTGGAAAATTAGTCTGACTTAGCTGGTAACTGGTTGTGAGAACTAACAGGCAGAGAGGAGGCAAAAATGTTACCCAGATTTTTAAAGAAATTGTAATTTTTCTGTTCCTCAAGATGTGAATTATTTGAGAAGCAGCCAATTTGGCAGAACTAGTAGAAGTTGGGAACAGGATGTTGGGAGAGATGATTTCATGTTTAAATCTGTTGAATTTGGTTAAGTCTGTGGGACATCCAAGTGCGATATCCAATAAGCAATCGCCTATATGAATCTAAATTTCTGAGCTAGAAATCCAGGTTGGATTGACTTTTATTGTTATGTGAAGTCATATGAGTGGTGAAGATTGCTCAAGAGAGTGGGGATTGGATTTATGAAAGTAACACAGGAAATATCAACATTTAATGAAATACGGCATTACAAAGAAAACTGAAAAGGAACCAGAAAAGTATGGAATGATAATCCGAAGGTGGGGAATTTGAAAGAGGAGGGTGTGGTTGTTATACTAGATGATTTAGACAGTGCCCATTGTATTCCGCAGCTAAGTCGCTGGTGACCTTGGCTAGAGCAGTTTCAGTGGAATGCAAGAAGCAGAAGCCAAGCCAGTAACATGAGGAAGCTAATGCAGACAGTGTGGAATTATCTTTTTGGAAAGATAGCTATGAAAGGAGAAAGGAAGTTAGGGAACCTAGAGAAGAACACTGAGTCATCAAGAGAGTTTAGAGTGATTTGGGATGATATATTTATGAGGGGAAAGAGTGACTTCAGAGGGAGAGTTTGGTAATTCAAGAAAGAGGAAGGGTAATTGGTGGACCAAGATTTTTTAATGCTAATAATTTTATTTTTTAAAATTTATTTTTTATTTAAGTATAGTTGGCATACAATCTTATGTTGGTTATATTAGTTTCAGACGTACAATATAGTGATTCGACATTTTGATACCTTAAATGTGATCACCCCACTAATTCTAGTAATCATCTGTCACCAGGTAAACTTATTACAATATTATTGAACATGATTTTTTTTGAGAAATTTAAAGGCTATGAGTACTAGAGAATAGATAACAAGGATTATGCTTAGACAAGAAGAGGGAAAACTCTTCCACTGAGAGGGAAAGTATTAGAATTTACCTAGATGTAAAAAACGTTTATAGAAAAACACTGGTTGAGAAGCAGGGAGATGCAATCATTTCTGCAAAATAGTTTTTTTGTGTGTGATGTTGGAAATGATATTAGCTGAAGGTGCGAGTGTTGGTGACAGAAGTTGGGGCTTGAAAAAAATAATCATGTTCGAAATTTCTGCTGTGAAAAATGAGAGGCAAGATTGTCAACCAGCATGCCAGAATATTTGGGAGATTATGAACCCAGTGGCATTTACACTGGGCTAAGTGCATGGCCCCGAGACAGATGTTTGGATGGATAGTTTCATTGGATAGATTTAGGCAGCAGACAAGGTAGCAAGGAAGATGACAGCAATAGATATTGAGGCCTACATCACTTGGGGAGAATAACCAGGAAGGGCTAAGAGACTAAAAAGAAATGAAAGAGAATAGAAGCCTCAATATGGTCAAAGGATAAGGTAACAATGCAATGAGAGAAAAAGGATATGAGCTTCTGACCAGTAAATAGGAAGCAGAGGTTAAGAGTTCAGAGTAGAACTAGAGGGTGATAAATTCCAGGATATAGCCAACATTTGGGGTGATGGGAATAGAGTGGTGATGTGAGCCACTGAAGTTAAAGATGGCGTGGAATTGTGAGGCATATATATATATACTGAGTGGCCAGATTATTATGACCACTTGACGTTTGTAGGCAAATTAGCTATAATTTCTCACTGAAGTGGCTAGAGGGACAGATCATTATAAACATCTGAATAGCACAACATACCTAAGTATCATTGCTGATCAAGTTCATCCTATCATGTTGATGACATATCCCAATGGAGATGGCTTCTTCCAACAAGACAATGCGCCATGCCACGGTGCTCGTATTGTGCAGGAGTGGTTTCAAGAACGTGAGGGAGACTTCACCTTGCTTAGGTGGCCCCCACAATCACCAGATCTCAATCCAATTGAGCATTTGTGGGACGAAGTTAAAAGAGCCATCAGGCAGCTGGTTCCACAACCATCAAATCTCACAGAACTGGACAGTGCTATTCATCAGGCATGGTGTCAGATTCCTCTCATCACCTTTCAACATCTCGTGGAGTCAATGCCAAGAAGAATCACCACAGTATTGAAGGCAAAAGGTGGCCCAATGAAGTACTGATGGGGTGGTCATAATAATCTGGCCACTCAGTGTGTATGTATATATATATATATATATAATGTTTCATTTGATATAATTAGCGTACCAGAATGAGAGTACCTCCTGAATCTGAGCTCATTTTGTAGATAAAGAAACACACATCCAAATAGCTAAAATATCCATCTGTTAGTACAAAATCCAGGCCAAGAATTGAAGTCCTTTGATTTCCCTCCAATACACCAAATATTAAAAACTTGAGCCTATGCATGGTCTTCAGGGCTTCTGTGAACCACCAAATTTATATGGGTTTATATGTTGTCAACATACAAGCAAGTATTATGTTGGTGATCAAGATTAGGCTAGTTTTTGTTACCAGATTGTTACCAGGATTAGTGACCTCTAAACAGTTAAACACCTCAACATCATGGCATGGGAATTATTAAAAGAAGACGTGAATTCAGGTTTTGCTACTGTTTCTGTCCCTGACTGTACCCTCCTCTCTACTGCCCAGGGTTTTTGTGGAGATCAAAGTGGCATCTGAAAGGGCTTTCTGAGCCATCTCAACCCCTCATCTATCCTTCTCCTGTACTTCATTCCTCTTCTTCCTCTCTCCCTCTCATTCTTCATGTCTGATGTATTTTTTCCTTGGGCAATACTCAATCCCTCTGCAGGCAAAAAGGGCAAGAGCTGTAGTAGTGTTGGATGCATAGATTAGACTTAGATGGAGACACTGTGATGAAAAAATATTCTCTAGATTATGTAAAGAGAAATGCCAATAATCTAGTCATCTCATAAGGGAGTTCCCATTCTAATCATAATGCCTAGCTATTCTTTTGGATTGATGGGACTTTATGCTTTGCTTTAATCCTGTTATCTGTGTCCATCTAGATGGCGAGGAAGCTCCGTGTGTTGGAAATCTTTCTGTTCATCTGCTTCCTAATTGTATTGGCCGCGGATATCTTCTTGCTGTTTCTGGTGCTTGAGGATACTTCAGGTAAGGGGGATACTCATGGCTGCTGAGGTGGAAGGAAGTCCCTTCAGAATGCCAAAAAAATCATCTTACTCCTTCACTCCTTGGCATGCCACCACACTGCATTATGTATAACTCACATCCATAGCTAATTTAGGTCAATCTCCAAAAGCTGTGTTCTTTTTCTGCAATTAAATCTTAAATGCTCATGATATTCAAGGCCTCAAAAGTATCATTTGAAACAAATTTAACAAGATGCACAATTAGGCCCATCAAATACTTGTTTTTCAACCTAGAGTCAAGAGGTAATAGGGCCTTCAAGGAGAAAGAACAGTTGAGGTAACTGTGCCCAATCCCATTACATTATGGCAAAGGGCATTAGGTTACAGAGAAGGGGAGGGCTGATACACTTGGCTTACATATATCAATTACAATTAGCCTCCAGTCCATATTCTGACTGGAATAGCTATGATTTCTTCGTAGATATCTTTGAAACTGTTTTCTCTCTCACACAGAAGCATCAAACAGAATGCTTTCTCCTTTAATCACACATTATACTCTAAATAAGAAAAAAAGTGTCATACAAAAATCTATTCTCAATTAGGTTTATTCTGCTTGATAACGCTTACTTTATAAATGTAGATTAAACACGTGGTAAAAAGAAATTATACTGATAGAAGAACTTTACTGACTCAATCTCTTCACCACTCTCCACAGTAAATTGACACTTTCTAGAAACAACTATGACTTTGAAAGATGATTTGAAAACCATTGATAAAAACTGTTTTTGACCTATTACTGCTTTTTCCCTATCAATATTTTTGGATCACAATCCTGAGATTACTGTCCAGTGTATATGAATAAGTAGTTTCTTTTATTTAACATAAAATTAGATCTTTGCATCTGCATTCATTCTAAACCACACTCTAATTCATGCAGAATGCTTCAAATTTTAAATGTTTTACATAGTGGACTTACCCTGATGTGTTTTTCCAAGAAGTTTCCATGAGTTGAAAAGGAGTTTTCATTTCTTTTGTGTGTGTGTGTGTGTGTGGTAAGAACACTTAAAGTGAAATTTACCCTCTTAACAGGTTTTTCAGTGTATAATACAGCATTGTTATCTATAGGCACAATTTTGTACATCAGATCGGTAGAATTTATTCAGAAAGCCCTTTCACTCTGTTAATTGTGTTTTTGTTGTTGTTGCTGCTGTCTTTGTATGCAGAATCTTTTAGTTTGTTTTAGTGTCATTGTCAGGAATTGGATGGTAGTGATTCGTTGCACAATTATGTAAAATACCAAAAACAACATTGAGTTGTACACTTTAAAAGGGTGGATTTTACGGTATGTGAATTGCATCTCAATAAAAACCAACGAAGCAGAAAGCAAAATGATCCCGGTGAACTTGTGTTAAAGAACCAGTATTTTCTCTCTGAGTAGCTTCTATGAGAATATCAAAATACCTGTCAGTACTATACCTTTTCCAAATGAGGATGGGGCAGGAACATAATTTACATGTATGGAAGGTAAATAAATACAAATATAGAATAAATATAAAATATATATTCTTTTGGTATTTTTAAATAAAAAAATCTGTATAAGTCCATTCTTTTAATATATTTTAAAAGCAACTGTATTTAACACTTGGAAAATGTATACAAATGTAGATTGCAGCTACTAGTGTTCATTGACTGGAGAATTGGCTGAAAGTCTGACACTGCTTCATTCCTGGAACCGTGATTATGCACATACAGAATTTTAACTTTGTTCTTTAATTTTTATGCAGATGCTCCATTTAGTCCACAGTGCCCTGAGATCCCTGAATCACATAGGATAGACTGTGCGCCTGGCGAGATGGTGTCAAAGGTCAGAGGAATGGGCGACCTGCCATTGACTTGCTGGGTTTTATTGAAAAGAAATGAGTGTGTGAAGTGGGGAGAGAGTGGTGGTGGAGTAGGTTATGGAACTCTGACTTGTTTGGTGTTACTATTTCTTTCTTGTCTTATTGAAATAACACTAAAGAAGTGAGGGAAGTAGGATAGGGTAAAGGTAAGGGGAGTAGGAAGTGATAGGAGTGTTGGCCCACGGGGTTTGAAATCCAGAGTGGAGGGTGAGTTCCTAGTGGAGGGTTATTCCCAGGGCAGCCACAGAAAGGTTGTTTTAGTGCTAGACCATGTATCCCTTGAGAACAGAACCCATCAAGCAGATATGAATGACTGAGTCACTTGGTGAATTCAGGTGACTGCTTGTTACAAGAGTCTTCTGGAATCATATTATTGGCAAGAGAGCCCGATGAACCTGTGCGAAAGAACCAACATTTTATCTCTGAGTGGCTTCTACAAGAATTTGAACTATTTGGACCCTGCTAGTTTTGATGAAAAACTGTACAATAAAGTACACTTACATTTTATTGCTTTACTTCATATTTTATATTCTATATCCCATAATATCCTATCGGGATGTTAATAAGTACTACATTAAATTTTAGGTTAAAATTAGGCAATATTGACATTTCAATAATTTTGAATCATCCCATTTTAAAAACATGAAAGTCTTTCAATTTTAACTCTTGTTTTTCTTAATATGTATTGTATTACATAAGCATTATGAAGCCTTTTTCCTAGATTTTTCATATGCATAGTTTCTATTGTAAATACAATCCATTATATTTTCTAAGTGGCGCTAATCTGTGTTATTGTAATGACATTGAAAATGGAAAAAAGAGTGCCCAGCTGTGTGTCTCAGTGGTTGAGCATAGACCTATGAACCAGGAGGTCACGGTTCGATTCCTGGTCAGGGCACATGCCTGGGGTTGCAGGCTTGATCTCCAGTAGGGGGCACACAAGAGGCAGCAGATCAATAATTCTCTCTCATCATTGGTGTTCTATCTCTCCCTCTCCCTTTGCCTCTGAAATAAAGAAAAGTATATATTTAAAAGAGAATAGAAAAAGAAGAAAATATACAGAGTAGGGTACAAAAGTAGATTTATAGTTGTTCTTATGGAAAATAACAATAATTAGTAAATAATAATACAAATGAGCTCTGTTTCCTGTATTCACAGCTGTAAATCTACCTTTGCTCCACCCTGTATATCTCTTAAACATCTGACCTTTGGTTTCTGTGGTACTGGTAATGGCTTAAAACTGAAATAAGGATGTTAGGGCAGACTGCATGCACAAAAATTTGTGTTTACCTAAATGTAGCAGATTTCTTGTTTTATTGATTTTTATAGAGGTCTGTGGACTTTGGAACAATTTATGGCAATGAAACTAACCTTTGGACTTTATAGACCTCAGTTTCAGAGGCAGCAGAAGTGCTTACTGTCTGCCTCAGACTTAGGAAAATCAGTTATCCAGTGGTTACCAGCACCCAAAACTCTTTTCCACTGACCCCCTTTAGCCTTTTGATATCTGAAGAGGATGGGGCAGGAACATAATTTACATGTATGGAGAATAAATGAATACATTAAAGAAGATTTTATAGTTATAATGTAATTGCTTTGCTTATAATAAGCATGGTGAACATTGATGTAAGATATATTCTTGTGATTTTTCAGAGCAATTATATCAGATGTCAGCATCTAAAATACTTGTCAGTACTATACCTTTTCCAAATGAATAGTATTATGACATATTCTTTTGCTTTTTTTAAATCATGAAATCTATAAATATATTCTTTTAATAAGAAATATTCAGATATTATAGTGATGTACAGAATAAAAGGGAAAGTCCTACTCATTCATTAAGCTTCCTCTCTACCTCCAAATGCTCTCCCCAGAATCAATCAATAGTTTGGTGTGTATTTTTCTCTTGGTCTTTCTGTGCTTTTGTATATATTTTGCACATATATTTATGTATTTTTTTGTTTTGTTTTAACACAGATTTAATTATACTGTGTATATTATTATACAATTTGCTTTTTAAATTTAGGTCATTTAAATTTATCACATTATTATATTTTAAAAATGGTTTGCTTCTGTTGAGATGGTCATATGATCTTTTTATTTTCTTTTGTCAATGTTGCTTAATTAATTTTGAACCATTCCAGCTTTCTCTTGATAATCCTTACTTGGCTAGTATGCATTAAATTTTCAATGCACTAATAAATTAAAATCTAACATCTAATTAAAATTTTATACATCATTATTTTTAAGTGAAATTAGTTCACTAAATATTTTTGGTTAATTGTTTATTTGGACTTCCCTTGCCTAGTTTGTTGTCAGAATTATTCTAGTTTAATAAAATGAGTCAGGAAAGTTTCCACCTTTTCCTATGTTCTAAAAATATATTGATATATAATATGAGAATATTCTATTCCCCAGATTATCTGGGCAAGATATCATTTTTTTTTTAAGGAAAAATCTTTGACTATTTACAGTTTCCCATGGCTACTGGTCCTTCTAAGGTTTTCTATTTATTCCCACCTAATTTTCATTATTTAATATTATACTATTTAAAGATTCAAATTACAGTTTCACATTTATTGGCAAATATATATACAAATAGCTGTCCCATAATTCTTCTATTTGTGTTAAAAAGTCATATGTATCTGTTGTTTTTTTTAATTGTTTTATTGCTTAAAGTATTACAAAGAGTATTACGTATGCCTCCTTTTTTCCCGCCCTTGACAATCCCCTGGCCTCCCCTACCCCCAGTGTCTATGTCCATTGGTTATGCTTATATGCATGCTATTCCCATTTTTGTTTCTAATCATCTTTGTCTCCCTCTCTTTTTGTCAAAGGAGAATTTGATAAGAAATAATCGTATTTCAAAGAGTCGCCTTTAGATTTATTGATCTGCTAAACTAAAAGCAAAACATATCCTGACACTATAGTGGAATTATAGCAGGAACTGATACATATGCCGCTGGAATATAATAGAACATCTCAAAATACATATTCATATTCTCATATATGTGCAATTAAACTTAGTTTATAATAAAAGTAGCATTTCAAACCAGTAGGGAAATAAGGTCTATTTAATTAATGGTGGCATCTGTCTCATTTACTATGCTTGCTGACAGCACTGTGTCATGTGACCTTATATAAATACTTGAACAGAGCAGGCACTCATTTCATATGTATTTATGTATTTATTTATTTTTAACATATTTTATTGATTTCAAAGAAGGAAAGAGAGATAGATACATCAATGATGAGAGAGAATTGAATCATCTATCGGCTGCCTCCTGCACGCTCCCTACTGGGGATCTATCCTGCAACCAGGGCATGTGCCCAAACCAGGAATTAAACCATGATCTCCTGGTTCATAGGTTGATGCTCAACCACTGAGCCACACCAGCCTGGCTCATTTCATTTTTAATCTCTACACTGACTTGGCTTAGAGCACTTCTTTTTCTCCACTTGTGTTTTAGACTATGAATATATTTTCCCCTAGAGTTGATAACATCTATTTTCTATATTTCAAGAATTTCATAACATCTTGTCTGTCATATTGTGTGTTTTGCTGTTTTATAGTGAATTTGTATTTTTTTTCTTAATGGCATTTCTATCCCTTTATGTAAGTTTAATTGGGTGAAGAGATGAGTGCTTGTGTTTAGTTCAACACTTTGAATCAGTTTTCCATCTATTAATTTATTATAACAAAACAATTTTTTTAAATATATTTTTTATTGATTAAGATATT